ATTTATCTAATTCAATTCACAAATCGTACAATGTGATTTTATTTATTTTTTATTTTTTTACAGAAAGGATCTGGGACATTACTACAGACTTTAAAAGCATATTGCTTCACCAGGTGGCACCAGAGCATTTGTTACAGATATGGTGTTCAGATATGTCAGGCCTACAGATCTGCACAACTGCTGTGCTATTGTTCATGTATGTTTTTGTAGTAGCAGTATTATGGTTGTGTTGTTACTTACGGATACAGCTGACCCTAATAACCTGCACAACACAGGTATTGATAATGAAACTAATGACAAATGAGTTTGTGTTTAGTTTGGAAAGAAACAAGCTAGGGGGAATCGGTGGGCTAAGATTCACAACACATACTAAGACATTGTTGGTGTGAGTTTGGCTCGTACTTTCTGCTGCATCACATCCACTCACTGTTCGACTTCCTGTCTCTTTGTACTCTATGTTTAAAAGAAATAAAGAACACTGTAACATAATCTCATACCTGGTGTTTACTGTTTGCAGTTTTTACTCATGTAATGTAGCAATTTATATGAAGTAAGATACTTTCCCACAAACAGTAGCAAACAATGACACATGGAAAATTCAGCAGCAGTGTGGATGTGTGGTCAGAGAGAGGTGTCAATCCGCAGGGGCTATTTTTTTTAACACTTTTTAAAGCTTTTTTCAATGAGGGTTAGTAAAATAAAACAACAATAGCAGTTTACAGGAATAGACACACACACACACACACACACACACACAGCCACCCACACACACTGGGCAGTGACACCACAGTTATTTGCACAGTTTCCACTGCAGTAGTTGGGGGATGTGGTTTTCTTCTTCTTAAGTTGTTGAGAGAAGAGAAAGTGATGCACAGTCACTGGTCCGGCTAACATCTGTGTGACAGGCGTATACTGCTGATCTTCTGCTAACACGCCCTTTTCTCAAACCTGAAGGTTCACCTTTACTCAACTGTCCTGTTTTTGTCTGCAAAAATCTTTTTTTTTCACAGCAGAAAAAGCACAGGTGTAACCAATAACATTATAGTGTTCTCAATTCAAATTAGTGTCTTAGTAAGTGAACATACACAATATCAGAGTATCTTGCCCTGGAACTGGATCACCTACCTACTACTGGATCACCTACTACTACTCACCTACAGACATTTTAATTCCACCTGTACTTTTCCTGCTTTGACAAGTCAAAATGTCCACCAGGAAAAGGGTCTATTCAATGAGAAGATTTACTAAGTCTCATGTCTGTACTGTAAATATGGAGCTAAAACTAGCATCTGGTTAGCTTAGCACAATGACCGGAAACAGATGGAAACAGCTAGACTGGAAAAGTAGGCTACATGAACTTTTGCACAGAACCTGATAATAAGGATTGGTATTTTCTTGCTTTTATGACAAACTGGATTAACGTCTGTATGTCTATTATATTTACTAGTAAGTCACAGTTGTTATGATCCAATTTTCAGTTAAACCCAATGTCTTGTTTGATTGGTTTTGAGATTGTTTTTTTAGTGCCCCATGCCCACCTGTGGTGAAACCAGCCAACATTCAGTCAGGTTGGTATTGGTGGTCTTATCCCCTTTCTTATTTGCTCAACCACACACGAGGCAGACATCTGGTGGTCTGCAAACCCGATGCTGAGTTAGAATATCGTTCACCAGTTTAGCCCACAGTGACTTTGATCTCGTACAATTTACAAAATGTATCATGAAAAACATGGTTAAAAAGATTTTCTTTAAAAATAACAACCACGACTTCTTCATGAAAATACATGTTTATTCTTCTATGGCACATCATAAAAGACAATTGTATTTATCACTGTTATAAATAAATATTCCTGCAAAAAATCCCAATAAAAAAATAAAAAAAAACAACCAAGGATGTACATTTATTGACAACATCTACTATTTAAAAACAATTGTCGTTGTATGAGCTTGAGTGGTTAATAATATATGTTTTAGACATTGGTTGAGCTAAACTGGTGCACATACAGGAAGGCAGTACTGAAAACAATCATGTTAACCGTCTTTGCTAAATTTAGCCTGCGGAGGCTTCTTGTACCCTAGCTACATATCCTGTTGATGTATATAAACTCATGCACATTCTGAGTAAACATGCTTGGCGGTCTGTCAAAAGCAGAGAAATGGCCAGCCACAGTCTACATCTCACAGCTCAGTTGCTGCTTGTGGCTTTTCTTGTTGTTTCACAGGCATTGACGTGCAAAATACCACAGTGGCGCGAAACAAAAAATGCAAACACCTTATTTTTGGGTGGTTACATATGAATGTCTATTGTTAACAACTGTAAACAGAAACTGTTTCCAAGGGTCTTTTGTTTCCATACAAAAATTAATGCTCTCTGCAGTATTCTATTGTACCTATAGGATGCCACTAATCTCTCCTGTGCAATAAGAATGAATCAGTCACATTTGCTTATTTACTTAATGACTTATTATTGGCATTCAATCCAGGCCAAGCAGCACTATGTATACACAATAAATTATGTGTAATTTGAAATTACAGATTAGAGTTAACAATTTAATCTTGCACTCTCATATGCATTCATCCTCTGTAGATCAAATAAAGTTATTCTTCCTAAATTCATTATTACAGGATAGTTAGTGATCATGTACATAGAAAATATCAGTTTAATCATGAAAAATCAGTGGTAGTTGTATTTTCAAAGCAAAGACAATTTAAAATAGGTTACTTCAACCTAGCTCTATTTATGTAACATGGAGGCAGTGTCTCACCTCTCTCTTCGTTCCTTTGACAAGAAGATGACATATCTACTCTGAAGTGGTTAAGTCCACCAACGGACGTGGGAACAATGAGCTTTTATCATCAAAACACAATGTTGACTAACTGATGCGCTTTTAGGCGTGAGAAAAAACTATGGTATATCATAGGTCTTCGTGTTCATTTTACTCTCTCTACTCAGAAAGAAAGCCCCAACAGAAACATAACTTTATTTACTGTCCTCTTGGGGAATGTAATTTGTCCTACAAGGACAGTAATTTTAGTAACTATTATTATAGCAATATTGACAAATTCCACCAAATTCACATCAAGACAACGGCAGATGAAAGTGAAAGTCAAGAACCCATTGTAATCCCCTGTATGTTAAACACATGCATTTTCAGGTTGCTAGAAGGATGAGTTTGTGTTTCTTCCAAGCAAGTCGTGCATTACATGATTAAAACGCTTAGTTGGTGGGAAGCCAGTGAGGGAT